TCGGCATTCTGAATTTTTGAAAATTTGACTTAATTTCGGAAATTATCAGACACTGCTGAAGAAGGCATTATTGTGTGTGGTGATACTTGTTTACATAGATCATCAGCTGTAATTACGTATACACTCCTTTTCAGTAAGCTATTTGTAGTCCACTTACTGGTTTTGCAAAACTATCTGGCTGTCCTCAGCTAGAGCCAGGGCTTTCTGAGTCCTGGCACCAGCCGGGTGGAACTCACTTCCAAGTGAGGTCTGCGCCCTGTGAGACTTATTAGTTCAGTTCCTCTGGGCCTATGGTTGAAGACAGCAATGGTTTTTCACCTGTCTGGCTTTTCCTCTCTTCTTTCTTTTCCTTCCCCTATGGGGGTAAGGAAATACAAATTAATGTATTCTACAGGCTTCCGGAAATCTTGATCTGAATTATTGTAATCTGATTTTAAACTATGTAATTGTTTTTAATTAATTGGGATGTGCTTATTTAAAATGTTGTTCACCACGCTAAGCCCGTTCGCGGGGAGGCTGGTCTAAAAATCGAATTAAATAAACACCTGGGGCCATGCATGAGAGGCATATGAACAGTATTATCCTATATTTAGAGAAAAATTGGGATGTTAAGAATATTTTGCTTTGATAATTATTAAGAATAGAACTCGGAAATAGTTGAATAGAGGATGATTGTTGTTAAAGAAATAACGTATTATCCTGCTATATAGAATGCGTATTCAGTAACTGATCTTTTCCTTTGTGCTCCAGTATTCTTGTAATATGTGACTGAGTCAGATACAGAGATTAAAGATTTGTCCAATGACTTGCATATTGTTCTGGATATGAATGTAAACCCTACTTGCTTATGAGGACTAAATGCAGACTTGTTTAAGAAGACAGGATTTCTGTGAAAATACACCATATCTTTGGAAGTTAATTGCACAGAGGACATAGCCTAGTTAAACCTCTAAGATACAGCTAAAGCTTATATTAGGTTTCCCCCCGGTTAATATATGTGTATATTATAATTCATTGAAAATGAAATCTAAGCAAATCTTAGTACAAATATAAGTATTTTAGGAATGGTACATAAAACAGTACATAACTGGTTGTGTACTGTAAAGTATGTGATTTTCAACATGTAAACAAAACCGTAAGAACTCAGTTGTTTACGGAACCAAACCCCCGTTAGTGTTCTATAAAATTTGCTCTCGTCGGAAGAATATTTAGTTGCTTGCTTAACTGACACTTGGAAGGATGTAAAGATTTCTTTAATTTTGAAGTTTGGGGGAAGATCCATCTTGGGTAGTCTAGATATAAAGGTGGTTTTATGCTAACCTTGGCCTGACCTGGATCGCCATGGCTAGCCTGTTCTTATCAGATCTTGGAAGCTAAGCAGGGTTGGTCCTGGCTAGTATTTTAGATGAGAGCCCACCAAGGAAGTCCAGGGTTGCCACCTGGAGGCAGGCCAATGGCAAACCAGCTCTGAACGTTTGTTGCCTTGGAAACCCTACAGGGTCACCATAAATCAGCCATAACTTGCTGATAAAAGAACATCCTGTGTATCTGTAGATATTGTAATGTCTTCTGTATACATAAAATCTTTGTTGATGAAGAGCTTCCAGCAGTTAACAAAAGACTCTATAAAGACTGGTGAGCAAAGAAGTGAGAATATCTTAAAAAGAGAGCCATTAAAAGCTCCTATAAATTTAATTGGAACTTTGAAACCTGCACATGACTTGGAAATATTTCATACAGGAAGTTATCTTATTTATGAAGGCAAGGCATCCAATTTCACAAGGAAGTTGTCCAGAAGATGGCGCTAGTTTAAAGCATTGCAGGCAAAGAAGTTGTCTATTACTGAATGGTTTTAATCTGCCAAACTCTGATCAAAACAATTATAATCTGATCATTCAGAAGTTTCACATGCCCATTTCAAACAAGGTATCAGAGGGAGAAACTTTTGCAACAGACTTGACAGCAATTTTGAGAACTGGCCAATTCCTTCAGTAGAGATCAAGTCGATCTCTACTGTAGAGATTAAAAAAAAAATCCTGTGCTATGTCCATCCCCCTCCCCCCTCCCGGATTAAACCCAAACAAATGGTGATGTTCCCTCTAAGCGGTTGAGTTTTGTGAGCAGAAATTCTAATTTGGAGGCTACTGGCATTAAAATTGTGAGCAAGCAATTTGGCTACCGCATAAATCAGTTTGCTCTGTAGCCATCCTTCCTGAGCTGAGACAAAAATATGTGAGCCAGAGGCTAAAAAAATGTGAGCTAGCTCACACTAACTCAGCTTAGAAAACCCGTGCTTTTGCCCCCCCCCCCCCCCCCGGATTAAACCCAAACAAATGGTGACCATCAATGTTCCCTCTAAACTGTTGAGTCTTGTGAGCAGAAATTCTAATTTGTGAGCTACTGGCATTAAAATTGTGAGCAAGCAATTTGGCTACTGCATAAATCAGTTTGCTCTGTAGCCATCCTTCCTGAGCTGAGACAAAAATATGTGAGCCAGAGGCTAAAAAAATGTGAGCTAGCTCACACTAACTCAGCTTAGAGGGAACACTGGTGACCATATAAACTAAGCTTGTTATTCCAGTTTGGTCTTTGCATCTGTTGAACACCTTTATTATGCTGTATGCTAATTTGCTGCTTACCCTCTACCTATATGTATGGACTGGTAACTTCCATTTCAGTGTCTCTGAAGAAGTGTCTGTGCACACAGAAGCTTATACCTTGAATAAAATTTTGCTGGTCTCAAAAATGCCATTGGACTCGAACTTTGATTAAATAAGTATAAGAAATGAAGACACTAGGAATAGACTGTTGGAAAGGCAGCAACTGAACTTCAACAAAGCCTTAAATCTAAGTCAGGCAGTTGAAACTAGTACATTGACAGGACAAGTTTGGGGAAAATGCCAGAGACCAAAAATAAAAATAAAAATCAGAGAGAAGACACAGGATTTGGTCAGTATAGATCAGTAACAGAACCAGAAAAACAAGATGTGACCAAGACAAGTCTGAAACACAAGAAATGTGAGAGAAGTAATCAGGCAATACTTTGTTCAGTATATGGAAAGATTTGTTTTGTATTTAATGGCTATTGTCATTTTGCATTGGTGTGAAACCACAAAATGTTAAAGCATCAGAGCAGCAGACAATGAGAGATGATGGTGACGACAGTGCATTAACAAAGATAGACATGATGACTGGGAGCATAAGAACAAAGGGAAACAGAAGAGACTGAAGTATACCACTGTCATGCAATGGAACTACAGTTGACTGTTTGTTAGATATTGGTACATCTTCAGAATTCTGGCAGGATACCTTTAAAAAGGTAAAGGTTCCCTTGCTCTAAAGCCAGTCGTGTCCGACTCTAGGGTTGTGGTGCTCATCTTCATTTCAAAGCCAAAGAGCCAGCGCTGTCCGAAGACGTTTCCGTGGTCATGTGGCCAGCATGACTAAACACCAAGGCGCACGGAATGCTGTTACCTTCCCACTGAAGTGGTACCTATTTATCTACTTGCAATTTCTTGCTTTCAAACTGCTAGGTTGGCAGGAGCTGGAACTAGAAATGGGAGCTCACTTGCGGCACACTCGGGTCTCAAACTGCTGAACTACCGACCTTCCACAGCCTGCAGTTCAGCGTCTTAACCACTTGAGCCACCGCAGCTCCTAGGATACCTTTAGTAAACCATTATATACTGTTGTGTATATTTAATATGCCATTTGGCAGTTACCTTTTACAAGACTGCTATTGGGTTTATGTTTTTGCACAGCAAATGAGTTGGAAGATGTGAAGGCACAAAAATCTGTACAGGTAACATTTTAATGTGGGGCACATCAGAGGATCATGCTCAGAGACTGGAAAAAATGCACAAAGTCCCTGGAGCAAGGTTAAAACCATGTAGAAGTAAATGGAACTTTAGAGTATAGGATTTTTTTAAAAAAATTATATCCCGCCCTCCCCGAAGGCGGGATATTGGCGGGGGGGGGAGTTACCAGAAGTAGACAGAGTGACAGCAATCACAAATATGCCTAAACTTAAAGACAAAGAAGAGGTTCAGAAAGCAATAGGCATGTTTAGTTTTGTATCACAGTATATTTATAATTTGGCACAGAAAACAAGATGTTTGAGGTAATTACTTAAAAATAATGCAGAGGAATAACATCACAAAGAATTTGAAAAAAGTTATTAGCAATGTGGATAACAGACAAAAGTCAGCACCTGTATCAAAGCATGAGTCAAGAGCTGTTCTTTTACAAGAGAGTGGAGAAAAGTGAGGATATGGGGGTTGGCAGGAGGAGGAAATGAGGAAATAAGATGGGGAGTGGGATTCAGGGGAAAGTTCTTACAGGTTCTTCTGGGGGCTTTAATCCACGTCCAGTGGGGGAAGCCCTGCCCACAAGCCCTGCCCCCAAGAGCAACCACTGGGCCACCCCTCCCCCTCTCCTCCTGCCCAGTTTAAAGGGCTTCAGCTGATTGGCAGGGACTACCTTTAAAGGGTTTTTTTGCAAGCCGAGCATGCAGCCCATGACCACCCCTCTCTCTCCCTCATGCTAGATTTAAAGTGCCCTCCAGCTGGTTGGTGGGCCATGTGGTCCCCATCGATCAACTGAAGCCCTTTAAATTGAGCAGGAGGGGAGGGAGAAGGGTGGCCAGATGGGCGGTTGCTCTTGGGGGCGGGGCTTCCCCCTCTGGCCAGCTGGCCAGGGGCAGATTGAAGCCCCCAGAAACAGGGGAACCCCCCCATCTGGACCTGGGGGCTGGCAACCCTAGGTTTTGAAGTCTCACCAGCTCCTTTCTGGCTCTGCCACACTAGACTCATAGAACTGTCACTGTTGCTTGCCACTGCAGTCCCCTCCGTCATCTGGATGCTTTCTTATGAGGCCCTGGTGGCAGAGAGGCCAGGAGAGGTTGTGTTGCTGTACTGGGCAATCAAGGGCTCTCCAATGCAGCCCACTAGGCCAGAGCAGTCCTCCAGCTCCAAGGCCTAGGGCTGGTGCCCTAGATGGCCTGTGGCTAACACTGCCCCTGGGTCTGGCCAGAAGAGGAAGATGATAGTGGAACCTCTGTTCTGGTCAAATCTGGTGTCCAGGGCTGGCCCATTATTGTTAAATTTTAGACCCCCCCCCCCAATAGCTAGCAATCCAAAACAGTCCAGTGGAGCCTGAGCGGTGGGTGTCGCCTTCTGACACACTTCCGGTGATGTTATACAACACATTGGAAAAGTACCGCCTTTGGGGAAAAGGAATGTTTCGGGTAGTCTGAGAACCTGCTGGGGTTTTCTTGGCTGTTCTTTAGCAAGACAGCCCAGTTGAAGAAATGGAGATAGTGGTTCCATCTGAAAATATTGGCCATTAGGTCAGTGATATGACATATACTTTGCCTGTGTATGTTCCCAGGTTCAATCTCTAGCATATCCAGGTAAAGGATGTCGAATAGCAAGACTGGGGAAGACCCTTAGTTAAAACACTGGAGAGAACCCCTGCCAGTTGAGTGAGATAGGTGGACTAGATTCTGTATAAGGCAACATCCAGGGTTATTTTTGGGCAGGAACGCACAGAAACGGAGTTCCGGCTGGCTCCCAAGTTGAACACGCCCAGCAGGAACTCATTAGCATAATAGGCCACACCCAACAGCAGAAACTCATTAGGATTGGCTACATTAGGGGTGTGTGGCCTAACATGCAAAGGAGTTCCTGCTACAAAAAAAGGCCCTGGGTTTTGACAACAAACAACGTAAACAGAATAACAAGCAAAAGGTGGGTGTGGCTGGATGAGCACACTTCTGGTAACATGGGGGTGTGGCCTAATGTGCTAATGAGCTGTGCTGTCAGGGGTGTGGCCTAATATGCTAATGAGTTCCTGCTGTTGTGTGTGGCCTATTATGCTAATGAGTTCCTGCTGGGCTTTTTCTACAAAAAGAGCCCTGGCCAACATCATATGTTTTTGTGTTGTTATTTTATCACTAACTTGCTCTCTGATGCTTTGCAGATTAACACAGGAGAGTGAGAATGGATTTTTATGACCCTCAGATGCTGGGCATTGTGGTCTTTGGTGGCTTCATGCTGGTCTCAGCTATTGGAATATTCTTGGTGTCCACCTTTTCCATGAAAGAGACGTCTTACGAAGAAGCCTTGGCGAAACAGCGTAAAGAGCTGGAGAAAGCCAGCCAGCAGAAGGTAGAGAAGAAGAAGAAAGAGAAACCCATTGAGAAAAAAGGAAAGGCCAAAAAGAAGGATGAGAAGCCCAACGGGAGACTACCTGAGCTGGATCAAGATCTAGCCGCTTCTGCTGGTTCTAAGGATATGAGCCCTGAACCTGCATCAGATGTCGAGCCAACCATCTTTGAGTCGCCTGTTTTAGTGCTTTCAGCTCCTCCTCTGGAGAAGGAGAAGCCTGCCTTGTCCCCTGTAGATAAGAAAAAGAAGGAAAAGAAAGCAGCGAAGATAGAGCAGGCTCCCAGCCCTCCGGTTTCTTCTCTGCCACCTGCTCTCTCCGAAGCTCCCGTTTCTGAAGGGATTCCCAAGGAGGAACCACCAGCAGTTGCTGTTCCACCAGTTGGGGCTCAACAGACTGCTCAGTTCGCTAGTTCTGTGACCGTCAAAAAGCAGGAAGCGCCTCGAAACCAAGAGGAACTAAAACAAGATGTCGGTTCGAAAAAGAAGTCCATTGCCAAAAAGAAAAGAGAATCAGGTAAGTCTCTTTGTGCAGACACCATGTTGAAGACTGTAGGTTGTGTGTGTGTGTTGTATAGTTCATCCTCCAAGTTAGCATGCAATTTAGCAAGAGTCCGGTAGCACCTTAAAGACTAACAACATTTGTGGCAGGGCATGAGCTTTAATATTGAATTTTTGTACTTTTAACTGGTTTTAAAATTGTATTAGATTTTATGTTGTTGCAAACTGCCCTGAGCCCCCGCGTAAGCGGGGAAGGGCGGTTAAGAAATCGAATGAAATTAAATAAATAAATAAATAAATATACATTACATTTAATGAGGCAAATGCTCTTTTAGGCCCTAGATTGTGTGATAATCACTGACCGATATTCCATTCTGATCAGAGAAGTCCTGCATGCACAGTTATAGCAGCATCTGACAGTTTTTATGCATTTCATAGACATCAACCTTGGTGAAAGAAAGCTCAGAGAGGAACATTCCCTCATAAATAAGTTTAACAAATTGGTTTCCCATGAATGAGTCAAAAGAAATATTAGGCTGCCCTGACCTGGATAGCCGAGGCAAGTACGATCTCGTCAGGTCTCGGAAGCTAAGCAGGGTCGACTGTGGTTAGTACTTGGAAGGGAGACTTCCTTGGAATACCAGGTCGGAGGACAGAGGCAGGCTTTGTTCAGCCACCTCTCTGAATATCCTCCAGGCCCCCAGTAGGGGTCAGTCACCAGAGGTCACCATGACTTCCAGGTAAAGACACACACATGCACACATACAAATACAAAAATACCCCCCCCAAAACCTCAATAACAATAATAGTTTAACAATAAAATCAATATTAAAAAAGAAATAACAGGCTGAGTGAGGCAGATGTATCAACCAGCACAGCAGACATGTGGCAAACTTTCTGGCTGAAAAGCTAAAAACAGCCTAAATCTCAGTCCCAACTTCTACCGTCTGCTGTCTGTTGATATTAGGGAGGAAGGAGAATAGTTGTTTTTTATACCCCACTTTTCTCTACCTTAAGGAGTCTCAAACAGGCTTACAATTGCCTTTTCTTCTTCTCCTCACAACAGTCGCCTTGTGAGGTAGGTGGGGCTGAGAGAGTTCTGAGAGAACCAGGGCTATTTTGGGGCAGGAACACACAGGAACGGGTGTTCCGGCTGGCTCCTGAGTTGGCCATGCCCAGCAGAAACTCATTAGCATAATAGGCCGCACCCAACAGCAGACATTCATTAGGATTGGCTACATTAGGGGTGTGTGGCCTAACATGCAAAGACGTTCCTGCTACAAAAAAAAGCCCAGGGTTTTGACAACAAAGTAAACAGAATAAGAAGCAAAAGGTGGGTGTGGTTGGATGACCACACTTCTGGTAACATGTGGGGTGTGGCCTAATATGCTAATGAACTGTGTTGTTAGGGGTGTGGCCTAATATGCTAATAGGTTTCTGCTGTTGGGTGTGGCCTGTTATGCTAATGAGTTCCTGCAAATGAGTTTTTCTGCAAAAAAAGCCCTGGAGAGAACCATGAGTGGCCCATGGTCACCCCGCAGGCTGCATGTGGAGGAGTGGGGAATCAAATGGTTCTGCAGGTTAGAGCCCACTGCTCTTAATTGCTACACCACACTGGTGAGAAAAGAAGCAAGAAAGGGTCAAGGCAAAGAGTCAAAGTTATGGAACAAACCAGTAAGCTTGGGCGGGAAGAGGCTCAGTGACTCAGCTGATAGGCACTGAGGTATGAATCTCCTTGCATATTTTTGCCCTTATAACCAAGCTCTGTAAGGAAAGAAAGTAGTGGATTTTCTTCCCAGTGAAAGCTGGAAATTCAGCAAGGTAGCTTAGCATTTCTGTAGGTTTAAGGTTTCCTCTGGTGTCTTATCAGAAGTGGCCATATGCCTATAGGATCGTCTTGGAACCATTGTGGCAAACTTTCTAACGCTCTGTAGCTTGTGCCTTATCAGCCTTTCCTTTTCCCTCCTCCTCTCTGTAGTGACTGCTGATGCTGACTGTGGGCTCGAACTTCCGTACAAGACTTTGGCCTGTACAATTAAAAACATGGTGTTTGGTGAAGGTGAGGCCCAGCAACTGATAGAAATTCTGTCAGAGAAAGCAGGAGGTCCTCAGGATATCTGGCACATGGTAAGTACATCTTTCGATGCAAAAAGCCTTGTTTTGACCGTAGACTCCATCCTTCATCATCCCAAGTAAATACTTTCCAGTTCTGTACTGCTCTTACAGGGCAGTATGAGGAGGGATGGCTTCATGATCAAGGCAGAGGCAGCCCTGCACCTAGCAACAGATTGAATTTATCATAAAGTAAAGGTAAAGGTTCCGTTGCTCAAAGCCAGTCGAATCCGACTCTAGGGTTGCGGTGCTCATCTCCGTTTCAAAGCTGAAGAGCCAGCGCTGTCCGAAGACATTTCCGTGGTCATGTGGCCGACATGACTAAACACCAAGGCGCACGGAATGCTGTTACCTTCCCACCAAAGTGGTACCTATTTATCTACTTGCAATTTCTTGCTTTCGAACTGCTAGGTTGGCAGGAGCTGGAACTAGAGACGGGAGCTCACTCCGTCATGCGGCACACTCGGGTCTCGAATTGCTGAACTACTGACCTTCCACAGCCTGCAGTTCATCATCTTAACCACTTGAGACTCGGGCGTATCTGTTCAAAGAGAACCGTGTCTGGTGGGCAGACAGATCTGACCCGGGACGTAGTCCAGAGCGAGGTTCTTATGTGCAAACACAAGTATGAGTGGGAAGTCCTTGTGAGCATCTGTCCATAGACCTTGCTCTGAGGACTGTTCCTTGGATTCTTAATCAGCGGGAAGATGTTATTGCTTGTATTCTTCTGCCTCTGGCACGCACTTGGAGAAGCCCTGGATCATGGGAAATCCAGTTATTTCTGGGGAGGAATTTATACCCTGGGTCCTTTTTTTGCTCATAAGAAGAAAGCAATAAATGGTAATTTATTAGGACTCTGGGTTAGGAAATACATGGAGATTTTTGGGGTGGAGCCTGGGGAGGGCAGACGTTTGGGGAGGGGAGGGACCTTAGCAGGGCATAGTGCTGTAGACTCCACCCTCCGAAGCAGCCATTTTCTCCAGGGGAAGTGATTTTGGTTGTCTGGAGATCAAATGTAAAGCAGATTTCCAGGTGTCACCTGGACGTTGGCAACCCCATAACTGGTTCTCCTTTAGGAGTATCATGCATTAGACTTCCAGAACAATGAAAGGGCAAAGTGATAAAGCCAATAGCTTTCGAGTTTTTTTTCAAGGAACATGCTCTTGGGTAGGCAATTACCCAAGTCCCAGTGGTAGAACTACTGGTTTTAGGATCCCTTGCTTGACAGCTGAGAAAGTCCATCAGATTTTAAACTCGTATACGTTTATACCTACATGCTCTCTCTGGCATATATTGCTTTAACTAAAAATTACATATTCATAAGCGTTCTTGCGAGTATATCTTTTAACTGTATAGTGATATCCCTGCAGCAAAGCATCTTTGGAGATTAACATATGAAGCTGCTTTGTAGTGTCTAAGCTAGGGTTACCAGACCCCCAACCCGGCCAGGGGATCCCCTGATCTTTGGGGCTCCAATCTGCTCCTGGCCAGCGGGGGAAGTCCCACCCCTGAATAGGGCTGTCAAGTGTCTATGTTGTTGGCACAATGATGTCACATGGAAGTGACTTCATCAGGCTGGGGACATCATGCTTTGACACTCTAGCAATTTGGCCGAAACTCTGCGGTTATGATAGAGTTTTTAGCCAAAATGCTAGAGCATCGACACACGACATCCCCGGCATGATGACGTCACTTCCATGTGATGTCATTGTGCTGATGACGTCACACACAGCGATGTCACCCTGCCCCCCACTCCTGGATGGCTCCCTCCCACCCTCCACCTCCAGGACAATCGAACCTGGCAACCCTAGTCTTAGCCATTTCTCCATCAATCCCAAGAGCAGCAGCTCTCCCAAGTCTGAGGCGCAGGTTTTTCTCAGTTCTGTTACCAAAGAAAATCTTTTTGAGCTGGATTTGGGATCCACTAGATGCAGGCATGGGCCTTCCTGCTATGGAGCTTTGGTTTCTCCTGGTGGTATGTTACAAGAATATAAGGGAAGCCATGTTGGATCAGGCCAATGGCCCATCCAGTCCAACACTGTGTCACACAGTAGCCAAAACCCAGGTGCCATCAGGAGGTCCACCAGTGGGGCCAGAATTATGGTAATAGTATCAGTTGCAGCTGGCCCATAGTTGGTGAAGGGTAACAAATAGTGGATATAGGTTGTATGTAGTCAATATTTTATCTGGTGCAATATTCTTCCATTAATATACCAAGGAATGAAGCACTCGGTCCATACACAAGAGAAGCTCGGAAGCACTGAGTCCGTTTGTTTTCTTCTGATTGTTGGTTCTTGTTACAGGCAACTCAGAAAAGTGACCCTGTTGCTGTTCTCAAACGGCAGCTGGAGGAGAAAGAGAAGCAACTGATCATGGAGCAGGAAAATGCAACTGCTGCAAAAACCAAATTGAGGGAACTTTCCAAGGTAGGTGTGGTGTGGCGTTCCAAGTACTGCTGTTAGAAAGCCTGAGAATATCTGGAGAAAGAAGAAGAAGAGATTGGATTTACGTATATCCCGCCCTTCACTACCCAAAGGTGTCTCAGAGCAGCTTACAAACTCCTTTCCCTGTGAGGTAGTTGGGCTGAGAGAACTCTGACAGAAACTGCTCTTTTTCAAGAACAGCTGTGCAGGAACTACGGCTTGCCCAAGGTCATTCAACCAGGTGCGAGTGGAGGAGTGGGGAATCAAACCCGGGTCTCCCAGATTAGAGTCCGCGCACTTAACCACTACACCAAACTGGCTCTCTGTGCTTTCCAGTACTCACTCTCTTCCTCATGTCTTCTAATGACGATGTGGACATTCTGCTGTGAAACATCATACAGCTTGTCTGTTTGCTGTACTCTGGCCACTTTAGGTGTTCATGATCTCTGATAGGCTGGTTTAGGGTGGACTTTGTCAATTATCAACTACTCCTCTGAAGCAGGCCTGTACCGACAGTGGGGCATCTTGGGGCCTGCCCCCCCCCAACTTACCATCCAGCCCAGCCCCCTTGAAAAATCCTTATTTTATTTTTTTGTGCTGCAGCACGCCATCGCCCTCATTGAGCCTGCCTGCCAGAGTCCCACCCCTGCCCTCAAGCTGTGACCTTGCCAGTCAGCCCCACCCGCCATTCCCCTGCCACCGGACAGGACACCGCTGGGTGGGGTGTGCAGGGGTGTCCCCTGACTAATTTAAAGGCCCCTCCCCGAATTAAAAATTCCTGGCTACAGGCCTGCTCTGAAGGGCGGGTTTTTTGTGTGTGTATGCAAACTTCCACCTTGAGTTGCCAGCCTCCAGGTGGTGGCTGGAGTTCTCCTGGAATTACAGAACTGGTCTCCAGATGGTAGAGATCTGTTCCCCTGGAGGAAATGGCTGCTTTGGAATGTGGACTGTCTGGCATTGTATTGTGCTGAGGCCCCTCCCCTGTCGGAAAAGACAATGCCTGGTGTACAAAGAGGAAGAGGAGAAGACCCTGAAGGGGTCAGTGAGAGGACAATTAGTGAAGACAACACCTTCTCTCTCCTGTTAAGTGCCGTTCCTTGAACTCATTAGGCCACACCCAACAGGAGAAACTCATTAGGATTGGCTACATTAGGGGTGTGTGGCCTAACATGCAAAGGAGTTCCTCCTACAAAAAAAGGCCCTGGGTTTTGATCACAAACAAGGTGAACAGAATAAGAAGCAAAAGGTGGGTGTGGCTGGATGACCACACTTCTGGTAACATGGGGGTGCGGCCTAATGTGCTAATGAGCTGTGCTGTCAGGGGTGTGGCCTAATACGCTAATGAGTTTCTGCTGTTGGGTATGGTCTATTATGCTAATGAGTTCCTGCTGGGCTTTTTCTACAAAAAGAGCCCTGCAAGAAGAGAAGAAGACCCTGAAGGGGTCAGCGAGAGGACAATTAGTGAGGACAGCACCTTCTCTCTCCGGTTAAATGCCATTCCTTGCCTGTCTCCAGATTGCCACTCTCAGGGCAATTTCCTCCTCCTCCTCAGAAGTCCGACACTCAGTCTACCCCGCTCTCTCAACTAGAGTTGGCATTAGGAACCTATCTCTGTCTCCTCTTTCCTATTCAGTCTGTTAGTTCCTAAATAAACTTTTATATACTTCTTAATCAGGTTGTGCACCATTGTTGTGTTCATTAATCTGGCTGGCCCTCCCAGGTCCTAAGGACGCTAGGCTGTCGACAACCAGGGCCAGGGCCTTTTCGGTGGCGGCCCCAGCCTGGTGGAATGAGCTCCCGGAGGAGACCAGTGCCCTGCGGGACCTTTTGCAGTTCTGCAGGGCCTGTAAAATGGAGTTCTTCTGCCAGGCTTTTGGAAGCCGCCGCCACCAATGAAGAACATCGGCTGGTAAAAGGGAGAGGGCCCTGGACCCTGAACACTGCCATCAACAGCCTTAAAGAACAGCAAACCCTGCAGGGACATCCAACTAATACCGAGAGCTGACTGTAAGCGGAGAATGTTCTACACTGGCTGCTACTGCTATATGACTATTAAGAACCACTAGCACTTTATTATGATTTTATATTTGTTTATACTTGTTTTAACCACAACGATGTTTCAGTGTAAAGGTAAAGGTTTCCCTTGCTCGAAAGCCAGTCAAATCCGACTCTAGGGTTGCGGTGCTCATCTCCGTTTCCAAGCCGAAGAGCCAGCACTGTCCGAAGACACTTCCGTGGTCATGGGGCCAGCATGACTAGACACCGAGGCGCACGGAACGCTGTTACCTTCCCACCGAAGCGGTTCCTATTTATCTACTTGCAATTTCTTGCTTTTGAACTGCTAGGTTTTAGTGTAATTATCTTTTTTTTTAATGTGAGCCGCCCTGAGCCAGCTTCGGCCGGGCGAGCGGGGTAAAAAAATCTGAATAATAAATAAATAAATAAGCATTCCCTGGCTGCTTTGGAGGGTCAAGTCTCTGGCCTTCTCCCCTGCTGAGGTCCCTCCCCAAACTCCGCCCACCCCAGGGTCCACCCCCCCCAATCTCCAGGTATTTCCCAACGCAGCACTGGCAACAGCCACTGTGTGTACCACCCTAGGAAAACACAGTCGTGCAACCGGGAATGGGATGCTGATATCCTCAGCAGGCTTGCGATGGGCCTGCGAGAGGCATTCGTGGCTTAATAACACTCCCTTTGGCTTCTGTTTCAGGGTAAAGTCATCCCTACCGTACCTGTGCTGATTAACATAGCACGTTTGGAACCCTCACTGTCTGCCTGGTCTTACTTACGGTGTCTTTCTTCTCTGGAAGGAAGTTGCTGCTGAGAAAGCAAAAGCCCTCCTTGTTGAGAACAAGCTGAAGGAGCAGCTCTTGGCCCACGAGCAGGAGGTTGCAGCTGTGCAGAACCGGATGCAGGCGAGTTACCAGGATCACATGACTGAGACCCAGCAGCTGCAAGGAAAGGTGGGAGATGTGGCATCACGATTTAACACTGACCTCTTGCCTTGAGTTGTGCTGCTGTCAGATGGGAGTGTGAGCAATGCTCCCTCTAAGCTGTGGAGTCTTGTGAGCAAAAAGTCTACTTTGTGAGCTACTGGCATTAAAGTGGTGAGCGAGCAATTTGGCTGCTGCATAAATTAGTTTGCTCTAGACCTATCTGTCCTGAGCTAAGACAAAAATGTGTGAGCCAGAGGCTAAAAAACTGCGAGCGAGCTCACACTAACTCACCTTAGAGTTAGTCACTGAGTGGGAGAGCTGGTTCGTAAATGGCACCTGTTGAATCACATAAAATTGAGCTTTGTGCGCTAAAAGCACTCGTCCTCACAAACCAGGGAGAACAGCATGTTTTGTACACAATTCAAGTGACTGGGTGGGTGTAGCATAAAAACAAAGTACTGCAATTTTATGATAAATTATCCCTAGGAGAATAGATCGCATTTCGCAAGACATCAGATCCTTTGGATGACTCATGCAAACATATTGTGTAGGCTAAATATTCATCTCATAAGGCTTTGTGGAATGCACGATTCTTCCCTAGCAGATGCAATGTTAGGTAGGTCCCAACTCCAGGAACTAGAAAGCAGGACAAAGTCAGTTACTGGGCATTGGAACGTCGCCTTAATGGCTTTCTTCCTCATCAACTCAGATGAGATGCCCTTGGATGAGAGTGTCAGTGCTGATGAAACAAACACACATAATTTTATATATTTAGAAAAATATTATTACAATAATTTCTTCATACATATTAATCATCATAGTCACAATTCATAATATAAGAGAACAAATTGTCAAATATCATCTCCATAGATTCTCCAAAGATATAGTACAACCTTATAATATATATTAGTCCTCCTCTGTAAAAAAGTTTCAAAAGGGAGGACTCCTTAAATTCTCTTTACATGTGCTCTGTCTTCCTCCAACAGAGGTCCAGATGTCCTTCTGTTTCAGAATCTTCCTCAGGGAGTCCAACAATAATTTTCAGCACAAGGTTGCTAAATACCAAAGTTTTAATCCAAAATTCTCTTTCAATGAACGCTGCAAAAAGTTTTTTGATGAGCTACAAGCCTCCTCCAAATTGAAAAGCACGTTTTTTGATGAGCTACAAGCCTCCTCCAAATTGAAAAGAGGGAAAGGAGATTGTAAGCCGCTCTGAGACTCCAAGTGAAGGGCGGGGTATAAATCCAATCTCCTCTTCCTCTTCTTCTTCTCATATCTTGTCAGATGCCATGCAGATAGTTTTTTCAAAAAATATATTCCTCTCCAGAAATATACCCACTGGAGGCCTCAAACTGGGGGCCATGGTTCTTGGCTTCCAGTGTTGTGTTAAGACATGATTATGCCATTGGTGGGGTAGTGAGACAGCCCTTTGAGGCAGCTTCCTACAACCAGGCTGCTTGTAATAAACCTTTCTCACACCTCTTCCCCAAAGTCAGAGAGCCAGTTTGGTGTAGTGGTTAAGAGCGGCAGGCTCTAATCTGGAGAACCGGGTTCAATTCCCCACCTCTCCACATGCAGCCAGCTGGATGACCTTGGGCCAGTCCCAGCTCTCTCAGAGCTCCCTCAGTCCAGAAGCAAGTCTAGTTCACTAGCTAGTGGTGCATCATTCAAAAAAGAGCTAGGAACGCTGACTGCCAGACGATCATAGGATCTCCTGGCTATACCACACTCACTGCCATATGATAACTATTAATTATTACTCCCCAAACTGAAAAAATAGCACGTTTTTGTCTCATTTGCAAATAAAGGGTTTGTCAAGGATGCCTGTTAGAACCCTTTCCTTAGGAAAGCGATGAAAAAAACAGTGTACGCAGGATGTGACCTCTTGTGATGTCTTCTCTTCAGCAACCAGTAGAAAACCACAATTTGCAGAGGCTTTGGAGTATATTGCCTATTGAAATCAGATGAAAGTTAAAAGCTTTCCTCAAAGCACAGAATGCAACTCCATCAAATAACTGGTTGGACTGTGAGTTGCTTTAATAATGTGGTAAAACTAAGAGAAGTGCATACTATGAATTCCTGCAGTCGAGCTCTTGAACCTGGTTTTTAACGCATGGCCTCAGATGGTTCGGGCTGGCACCCTTAAGTCAACAGGAATGCAACCCTGACATTGAGACAGGGCCTCCCACTAATTAGACCAGTTTAGAGTGCCCCTAAACATTCCCAAAAAAACATTTTTGGAAGCCTGCAGTATTTGATTATTTGGCATTTGCTGTCTTGAAGCTGAATGTGTCCATTGACCAGCCTCATGCGTCGAGCCGTCTGTTGCATTTGTTCTTTGAAAGCTCGGTCGAGCGCTGAACGTGCACTCATGAACACACAGCAACTTGCCTAAAACTGAGTGAGAACATCTAGCCTAGAAGCATAAAGTGTGGGCAAACAGAGACTGTAACTTACAGATCCTTAAAATGTGAGCATTTCTGCACAGCATGGAACTCCCATTTTCTTGATTTTGGACTTTTAGTGGGAATCTATTAGAGCTTGCCGTGTACTGCGGCGTTTATATTTGCTATCAAACCTGCTTCCCTGAACACGTTTGCGAGGCAGCCTTGGGAGGGCTAAACCCCCAGATCATAGGACCAATGCCTGCTACTTACTCGTAATCTTACCAAGATCTCAAAGTAGTTATTTTTTTATAGTTTTAATCTTTAATCTGATTGTCATATATTAATGTTTGTAACATGCCCGTTTGTGGGAAGGGCGGGATAGAAATCCGTGTACTGCGGCGTTTATATTTGGTATCAAACCTGCTTCCCTGAACACGTTTGCGAGGCAGCCTTGGGAGGGCTAAACCCCCAGATCATAGGACCAATGCCTGCTACTTACTCATAATCTTACCAAGATCTCGAAGTAGTTATTTTTTTATAGTTTTAATCTTTAATTTGATTGTCGTATATTAATGTTTGTAACATGCCCGTTTGTGGGAAGGGCGGGATAGAAATTGAACCAAATAAATAAATAAATAAATAAAAGACTACTTGGTAAAATTCAACAGCCATTTGGACAGTGGGTATGTAACCAGCTTCCATGTTGTGTTTAGTATGTATGGGGAGCAGAGAAAGAGAGACTGAAAAAGGTAGGAGGAGGAAAGGAAGAAAAGGAGGGATGATAAGGAGAGAGATGGAAGTACAGGTAGAGGAAGAAGGGAAAGCAGTAGGTGGCAGATGGGTGGGATAAGGGAGAGGATGCAGCAGGGAAGGAAGGAAGCAGAGAAAGGAGAGGGACTATGGGGCCTGCTAGGAAGAGGGAAAGAAGGGAAGTGGATATTGGGAGGGGGGATATAGGGGAAATGAGATTCCTCCATGAAATGTCATGCTTGAATAAGGGTGTTCTAGGACAACTAGTCACAGAGACTTCTCACCACGCCATTTTTGACAACCATGGCAAAATAACTGTGGCCTGACTTACCACCTTATGGGTGTGATGAAATGTTTATAGTAGCTTCCCGCAACCTAACCTGGGCCCCTCAGTCCACATTCTCAGCATGCCAGTTGGCTTATGAGCAAGAGAGACGATGGAGGGAAGATGGCAGAGAGAGACGAGAGAGATGGCAGAGAGGCCTGCTGCCTTCAGTTAACATTCGTGTCGTGCTCTTAAAGTTGTCTGTTTCCTACATCAGTCCCATAGCAGGCATCGTCAGATTTCTTTTTCCAAACTGATTTCAGATTCGGACGCTTCAAGAGCAGCTGGAGAACGGCCCAAATACCCAGGTGGCTCGTTTGCAGCAAGAAAATTCCATCCTCAGAGACGCTTTAAACCAAGCCACAAGCCAGACAGAAAGCAAGTAAGATGGAAATAGAAATACTGTTTCAGTGCACTGGTGCACCACGTTTGTGAATGTGACTATCACTTTTAGCCTAGGCTATATGTTGCCCTGGCCGGAGAATTGGTAGTAAAATCTTATTCGACACAAGCCGTTAATGGCTGGCAGTAGCCGATAAATAGTTCCGGGTAGCCAAGTCAAAGTTCTCAGAGATAGAGTGAGCCTTGAGGAAGAAAGGAGAATTCTGCCGCTTTCTGTAGTCTGCTCCATCTCTAGAATTGTTGACTCCATCTCTGATGCTCATAGGTCTCCAAAGTTATGTTCAGATGTAGATCTGAAGCGAGACCCAAGAGTTCAGACGGGGGTTGTAAGTAGCCAGGTAGGATCAACAGCATCTTGAGGCCGGATGGCCTTTCTCCAAACCCGTGCTTTAAAATGCTTGCTGGATAAAATTTAGAATTGTGGAGCATTTTCATAAATGTCTAGTTTACTTATTTTAAAAGGTAAAGGTTCCCTTGCTTGAAAGCCAGTCAAATCTGACTCTAGGGTTGCGGTGCTCATCTCCATTTCAAAGCCGAAGAGCCAGCGCTGTCCGAAGACATTTCTGTGGTCATGTGGCCGGCATGACTAAACACCGAGGCGCACGGAACGCTGTTACCTTCCCACTGAAGTGGTCCCTATTTATCTACTTGCAATTTCTTGATTTCGAACGGCTAGGTTGGCAGGAACTAGAGACGGGAGCTCACTCCGTCAAGTGGCACATTCGGGTCTCGAACTGCTGAACTACCGACCTTCCACAGCCTGCAGTTCAGCGTCTTAACCACTTGAGCCACCGCAGCTCCTTTTTATTTATTTAATTTATTTATTATTACATTTCTACCCCGCCCTCCCCGCAAGTGGGCTCAGGGCGGCTTACAATAGGGCCCCACCATGTGCCAAAGTATAGAACAACATAAAAACAGGATAAAACAATCAACATTAAAGGGCTCAGTGGTTGCAATCAAAATTTAACAAGATGGAATCAAATTTGCAAGATGGACTCCCCAGTATCTTACATAACAATAGGGAGATTAAGACCCATAGTTGTTACTCGACCCCAATCCAGCAGTACTGATCACAGCGGAGTCATGGTTGATTTTCATGCGGCCACCCCTCAGGTCTACCAATGATGGTAATGGTGGTGGTGGTGGTAGTAGTAGTAGTAGTAGTAGTAGTGGCGGTTCCTGCTCGAAAGCCTGGCGGAAGAGCTCCGTCTTGCAGGCCCTGTGGAACTGTAAAAGGTCCCGCAGGGCACTGATCTCCTCTGGGAGCTCGTTCCACCAGGTAGGGGCCACCACTGAAAAGGACCTGGCCCTTGTTGCAGTAAGCCTGGCCTCCCTGGGGCCTGGGGTCACCAGACGATGTTGTGTCCCCGACTGAAGTGCTCTTTGGGGTATATATGGGGAAAGGCGGTCCCTCAGGTGTGTCGGACCCTGGCCATATAGGGCTTTAAAGGTAAGCACCAGCACTTTGAAGCAAATTCGGTATGCTATAGGCAGCCAGTGAGAGGCAGCCAGTGAGAGCTAGTGAGAGCTCTCTTTATGTCATTTTTAGCACTAATTCTCTCCAGGGCTCTTTTTGTAGAAAAAGCCCAGCAGGAACTCATTAGCATAACAGGCCACACCTCTTACAGGCCCTGCGGAACTGTAACAGGTCCCACAGGGCCCTGATCTCCTCCGGGAGCTCATTCCACCAGATAGGAGCCGCCACCGAAAAGGACCTGGCCCTTGTGGCAGCAAGCCTGGCCTCTTTAGGGCCCGGGGTCACTAAACAGTGCTGTGACCCCGACCGAAGTGCTCTTTGGGGCCTGTATGGGGAAAGGCGGTCCCTCAGGTATAGGGCTTTAAAGGTAAGCACCAGCACTTTGAAGCTAATTCGGCTCTTTATGTCATTTTTCGCATTAATTCTCTCTTTTTTTTATACCAGCGGGTCTTTGATCTGTGGTCCGTGGAGCACCTGTGGTCTGTGGGGACCTGCTTGGGACTGTTGGGGAAAGTGGTGTGGGATCAGCTTGGAACCAACCGACTGGCAGTGCCTGGAGACTTCTCCTTCCCATACAGCCAACCGTTGGCAGCAAGCTGAGCCTGCTTGATACAGGCTGCTGGTGGCACGGTGCTGGGAGGCAAGAACAGGCATCGTAGGGACGTCAGCCTCCAGGTGGGACCTGGGGATCCCCTGGAATTGCAGCTCATCTCCAGGCTAAAGAGATCAGTTCCCCTGGGGAAAATGGCTGCTTTGGAGGGTGGGCTCTACCTGTCCTCCCCAGACTCCATCCCCAAATCTCCAGGAGTTTCTCAACCTGGATATCGCATTCCTACCCCCCCATCCCCTGCTGGTGGCCAGGGGGGGCCTGGCGGACCTAGCTGGCCAGGAACGAGCCAAATCTCAGTGGTGTGCAGACTTGGACCAGGCCAGTGGTTAGGGTTGCCGACCTCCAGGTGGGACCTGGAGCAGCCAGGATTTTATGACTTGTGCAGCAAAAAAATTTTCTGGTGGGACTAAAGACTAGGAACCGGAAGCGACTTACTGTCGCTTCAGATGAGCTCAGTAGACGTAATACTACATTTGCCACGCTAACGGTGACAGCGTGTTTTGAACACCCAAAACTCTCTTGTGTAAATGCTAAGAGGAGTCACAACTCTCCAGCATCAGCAGTCATTTCCTGGTATCACACACAGCCCTTTGCAGCAGCGCACACCCGCTGACCGTTGTTCCCTCTAAGCTGTGGAGTCTTGTGAGCAAAAATTCTACTTTGTGAGCTCCTGGCATTAAAGCTGTGAGTGAGCCATTTGGCTGCTACATAAATTAAAAAAATTTGCTCTGGAGCCATCCTTCCTGAGCTAAGACAAAAACAAGTGAGCTGGAGGCTAAAGAACTGTGAGCTAACTCACACTAACTCAGCTTAGAGGGAACACTGCCGCTGACCTTTGTGAGGTTCGTTACAGCCTTTTTTAAAAAAATGTTAAACATTTTAAAAAACATTTCCAGAAGGAGCTCTTGTGGGGCTGGCCCTTTAAGGATGGGGGCACAGCCCCCAATAGCGCCGCTGTAGCTATGGGCTAGATCTCCTGGAATTACAACTGATCTCCAGATGACAGAAATCATTCCCCTGGAGAAAACAGCTGCTGTGGAGGATGGACTCTCTGGGATTATACCCTTGACTCCACAGGCTTTGCCCCCAAATCTCCAGGAGCTGGCAACCCTACCAGTGATGGTGCAGAACTGGGAAGTGTCCAGTGGGCCCCTTGCCTCCGGCTGGGAAGAAACCAAGCCCCAGCAGTGCTGCCGGCGCCTCTGAGCCTGGCTTGGAACGGGCCAGCATTAGGTGGGCCTGAGAGGTGGGAAATGGTCGGGCCACGGTAGGGACAGCGGAGGAATGCGGGTAGGTGGTGGTAGCAGTTGCGTGGGGCTGGGCTAGAGAGGGAATGGATCAGAGTGGGCAGTGGAGGTGAGGAGAGAACCTGGTGAGAATGCAAGAAGTGAGCAGAGACCATCTCTGCAGTCGTGAGATTCCCCGCACGGACGTTCTTGAAACTGTGCATTCTGTGAAATTTTCCGCAGTAGATTTTTCCTCCCCAGGCGGAAACCCAAAGTCTTCTCCTTCTTTCCCCGCGTTTTCAGAACCCGCCAAAACTGGGGGTTCCAAAAATGCAGGGTGTGGTGTATTCAATTCAATGTAAACTGTATGTGAACTCACTCATTGGAACACCATGCAAAGCTTCGTCCTGAGCAAGGATCCTAATTCCTCAATTCCTATTGGTAGCCCAGGAAGAGCCGACCAATCACCTAACATCCAGTTCCCTGAGAGGGAACGTCTGTGATTGGACTTTATCTTTACAATCCTATTGGTTGTTATGTACAGTAGGGCGTGACTACATTAGCCCGGGAGAGTTTAAAAGGAGCTCAGCTGCAATGCAAAAGTTGTTCTGGTTGTTCTGTCTGGTTGTGTTAAGCGTTGCTCATTAAAGCTGAATCACTGGCTGAAATCACTCTCTGACTCTTGTTAAGTAGTTGACTTAACACAGGGTAAGAAGGAAAAAACTTTCGGGTGAGGAAAAAATGTACTGCGGGAAATTTCACAGAACGCACGGCTTTAAAAACGTCAATGCGGGGGATTTTACGACTGCAGAAATGGTCCGAGAGCAAGGTCTGGTGGACGAAGAGAGCGCCGGAAGCGGAATTTGGTCATGTCCTTTAGGAGTTTTAAAAAGATTGATTTCCAGGGAAGAGAGCATCATGTGTGCGGCCATCGTATGACATGTTTCTTTTTGCTTGTTTATTACGACACAAAGCTCAGCGGTGGGCCTCAGAGTGAGTGACCCACATCAGCGGTCCCTGACACCCAGAAGGCTAAGGTCTCCTGTTGCACCCTCAGCCATAATGGAGGCCAGATACACTAGATCACTGAGGAAAAGTTGTATATGTGGGATGGGACCTGATGAAACATTGGCACATGTAATTTTTGAAATCACTCTCTGACTCCTGTTAAGTAGCCGACTTAACACAGGGTAAGAAGGAAAAAACTTTCGGGTGAGGAAAAAATGTACTGCGGGAAATTTCACAGAACGCACGGCTTTAAAAATGTCAATGCGGGGGATTTCACGACTGCAGAAATGGTCCGAGAGCAAGGTCTGGTGGACGAAGAGAGTGCCGGAAGCGGAATTTGGTCATTTCCTTTAGGAGTTTTTAAAAGATCGATTTCCAGTGAAGAGAGCATCATGTGTGTGGCCATCGTATGACATGATTCTTTTTGCTTGTTTATTATGACACAAAGCTCAGCGGTGGGCCTCAGAGGGAGTGACCCGCATCAGGGGTCCCTGATACCCAGAAGGCTAAGGTCTCCTGTTGCACACCAGTTCGCAGGAAGATTCTCTTGCCAAGGAAATCTCCTGTTGCACACCAATTCGCAGGAAGATTCTCTTGCCAAGGAAACCGGCTCCTATAAGGGGCAAGGAAACCGGGCGCTTATTTCCCTTATTTCCACTGTCGCGTGGAGGCCAGTGGTTTCCAGCAGACTGGTATTGATGCACGCCCTCTTTCCTGTATCTCAGGCAAAATGCTGAACTGGCCAAACTGCGTCAAGAGTGTAGTAAACTGAGCAAAGAGCTGACTGAAAATGCGGAGCTGCTACAGCAGGCCGAGGAGCAGAAGAAGGCCCTGGAGACCAGAGTCGTTGCCTTTGAAGGGCAAATCTACCAGCTGCAGGTCAGTAAGGCCATCTCCGCCACCAGCTCCAGCTGCTTCACTATTGCAGTCAATGCGGGGGCACGTGAGTATGCTTGGCACTGGTCCAAACGTTAGAAAGCATGGCTTCTCTTTCTTCTCGTGGCTTGGATTTCATTTGCCACTTGGGAAAGGTCGCCCACGTCTGGTTCGCACATGTTTGTTCCTCCACTGATCTCCTCTGCTGCTGTGGAATGCCTAGAAGGGCAAGATCCCAACTCGTGTGTGACTCACCCATGCACACATCAGACAAGAGTGGGCTAACCTGGGCCATCCAGGTCAGGGGTTTTAAGTCTTCTACCAATCAAAAGGCTTATAGGATTCACTGCCACAGGATCTGATGCTTAGGCAAAGGCCAGTGGAATCCGACTCTAGGGTTGCGGTGCTCGTCTCCATTTCCAAGCCGAAGAGCCAGCGCTGTCCGAAGACGTTTCCGTGGTCATGTGGCCAGCATGACTAGACACCGAGGTGCACGGAATGCTGTTACCTTCCCACTGAAGCGGTAACTATTTATCTACTTGCAATTTCTTGCTTTCAGATTGCTAGGTTGGCAGGAGCTGAGACCAGAGATGGGAGCTCACTCCGTCATGCAGCACTCGGGTCTCGAACTGCTGAACTACTGACCTTCCGGTCTGCAGTTCAGCGTCTTAACCACTTGAGCCACCGCAGCCAGCTTTAAAACAATTAGGTCAAGTCGTATAGGAGAGGTCTAAGCAAATGTGAGGACTGTTAAATGCAGCTTTTTAGGTAGCATACTGCCTAGTCCCAAGTCAGGGAAACAGGCATCCTCTCCCTGCCGTCTTGCTAGTGAGTTCCCCTAAGCCTCTGAGTGGCCTCTGGGGGTAGCAAAACATTGTGTTGGGTGCATTTGGTATCGTCCAGAAGTGTAATTCTTCCAGGTAATGAAATTGTGTGTGTTCAGTGACAATACCCAAAAGCAGGGCTATTTTTGGGCAGGAACGCACAGGAACGGAGTTCCGGCTGGCTCCTGAGTTGGCCACGCCCAGCAGGAACTCATTAGCATAATAGACCACACCCAACAGCAGACACTCATTAGGATTGGCTACATTAGGGGTGTGTGGCCTAACATGCAAAGGAGTTCCTGCTACAAAAAAAGCCCAGGGTTTTGACAACAAAGTAAACAGAATAAGAAGCAAAAGGTGGGTGTGGTTGGATGACCACACTTCTGGTAACATATGGGGTGTAGCCTAATATGCTAATGAGCTGTGATGTCAGGGGTGTGGCCTAATATGCTAATGGATTTCTGCTGTTGGGTGTGGTCTAATATGCTAATGAGTTCCTGCTGGGCTTTTTCTACAAAAAAAAACCCTGCCCAAAAGGTTTTGCAGATAGAGTGTTGGCTGTGGAATGGAGATACCTGGGTTCAGATCCCTGTTCATACATTACTCTGGCAGGTTAGGCTTGTGCGAATCATTCAGCCTAGCCCACCTCAGATCTCTTTGGAGGGTAAACGTGTGATTCCCTCCCTCCACATGCACTCTGAGCTCCTTAGAAAAAGTGTGGAAACAAAATGCAATAGGTATGAATTGCCGTCTGTCCTGCTAAATAGATTCAAGCGGGTAGCCGTGTTGGCCCGACGCGATAGAACAACGTTTGAGTCCAGCGGCACCTTTAAGGCCAACAAAGTTTAATTCTGGGTATAAGCTTTTGTGAAGAAGTGTGTATGCACGCGAAAGCTTATACCCAGGATTAAACTTTGTCGGTCTTAAAGGTGCCAGTTTGGCGTAGTGGTTAGGAGTGCGGACTCTAATCTGGGAGAACCGGGTTTGATTCCCCACTCCTCCACATGCAGCTGCTGGTGTGACCTTGGGTCAGTCACCAGTTATCTCAGAGCTGTTCTCTCACAAGCAGTCCTCGAAAGAGCTCTCCCAGCCACACCTACCTCACAGGATGTCTGTTTTTGGGGAGGGGAAGGGGAAGGAGATTGTAAGACGCTCTAAGACTCCTTCAGGTAGTGAAGGGCGGGGTAAAAAACCAATATCCTTCTCCTTCTCCTCCTCCTCCTTCCTCCTCCTGCTAAATGTACAGGTGTTGGGGAACTGGCAGGTTGTTACTTCCCAGGGTGCACCTGTCTGGCGACTGGTGAGAGAGTCAGCATGGTGTAGTGGTTAGAGACCCAGGTTCAAATCCCCAGTCTGCCGTGGAAGCTCCCTGGGTGACCTTGGGCCAGTCACAGACACTCAGCCTAACCTACCTCACAGGGTTGTTGTGCGGATAAAGTGGAGGAAAGGAGAATGGGTCATCCACTTTAGGTCCACATCGGGGAGAAAGGGGTGGTGTGAATGAAGTAAATCACCTAGATGTGTGTCTTGACAAATCCTTTGTCCCGGAGCAGAAAGGGACAGTGTGAAAGGAACGTTCAGGGCATTTGCTCCCTCTTGTGGAGCTGTTAGGAACTAGCCTACAGGCACAAGTCTGGCCTCCGGAGTCAATTTCCCCTCTTTCATGCAGGTATCCCAGAAAGAACAGGAGTCACCCCTGCAAAAGAGGTTGGAGGAGGTCAGCGAGGATCTCTGCAAAGCCCAGGTCACCTGCAGAAACTTGCAAGCAGAGCTGGACAAGACAAAAGAGCAGCAGTCAGATCTTTCAGGTAAGACCTGACTGCGCATGCCCACCTGCAAAGAGACAAGGACATTTGGGTGCAGGTGGAGCCTGGCTTTGGGACTGAGAGAGCATCATTGGCTTGGGGTGATGAGCTTTGGCTACAGTTGGATACGGGCAACTCATGGCCGTAGATACTGCTCTGGCAGCACTGTCTGACTAAAATATTTCGGTGGCTCAAGTAGAATCAGTGTTTAGCATCGGTCACCGGTGTGTTTAAACAGTGATCACTTCCATTTACAGCGATCAGTTGGTCAGTTCCATTTACTTAGATAACCTTCCTAGCTTTCTTGGGACTATTATATCTTACCTCTTTGTCTGAAAGACTTCATGAATTTTTTCCAAGAAACACCCCGTTCTCTTGAGAACCTTCACTTGCCAACTGTGATCTGTTGTTGCTGTCTGCACAAGACCCTATCGAGCTTCACTGGTAGGATGCAGTCCTTTGCAGATCCTTTTCTCTGTGTATTCCTTATGACGCCTGCAGGGAACATCCCAGTGCAATATGCCATAATAGACTTCCCTTTCTCCCATGAATCTTCCAGACTTTCTTATTTCAGCAGGTGGTCGGAAAGCTCTTAGGCGGCCCCCCCTCTCCCACCCGTTCAAGTCAAGTGTCCTCCTTGAAAGGGCCCAGGTGCTCAGCCTAGGGCTGTTTTTCTCATGTGGTCAGGGGATGCATAACTACCTCCTGAACTGCTCAGTAGCCTGAAGCAGCCAGAGAGGACAAAGATCCGTGGCTGCCAAGATGGGCAGCCCCCACCCATGTGTGGCCCAGCTGTACAGCAATTCGTAGCCAGGATTTTGTGGCCTGTGGGGCAATTTTATTTTCTGGTGGGGCTGATGTTTTCAGTGCAGAAAGAAAAGCCATTTAGCCAATAGAAAGCTGTGACCAGGATAGATCTTTAAATTGCAAGCTGTCAACCACTTGAGATGACAGTTCTAAGCTGCTGCAAATCACTTCTGCCAGCCTAAGCAACAATTCTGATAGCAAGCCAGCAGTTGAGGGTGATTACTTCTGTAGTCAAGAAAGTTAACACTTCGGCAGAAAAACTCTCTTAAAGGAGACCAGTTTCTTGACAGAGAGTTAGAAGGGATCCTAGAGGTCACCTACTCCAACCCCCTTGCTCAGTGCAGCAATTAGTTGACTACAGGACCCCACTCTGCTTAAAGGAGTGTACGCCAAAAAAAACCATTTAAAAATGATTGAAAAAAGCATCTACAGGAGAGATTCTTGTGGGGCTGTGCCTTTAAGAAAGGGGGTGGAGCCCCCAAAAGCCCCACCAGACAGGCCTGCTGTACAGTTAGGCACATGTTTGGGCATGGCCTCTGGTGGTTTTTACTACTGTTAGTAGACTCAGGGACCAGTGAGTTCTGCACTAAATACCTAGATGGTCTCTCTAAAAAGGCTTAGTTCTTACTATCCAGAAAACACAAAGCTTTCACAGAGGTCTGCATGGGAGGAAAGCAGTTAACTGGATTTGCCTCTCTTGGCATCTTTTGCTGCACTCTACAGTAACTCCTTCCAAAGGCAAAACCAGGTAAAACTTACAAAAAAAATGTTCTTCAGTTATATTTTCACTGCTTTAGACCAGGCAGGTTGGGTGGTGTTAGAAGGACTTTACCCACAAAAATTTACCCGTTTTTGCCTGGTTTAAGCAAGGGGGCTTCCTTGCAAGATGTTGGGTGTCCTCTTCAGTCCTAACGTTTTGTCCGTTTCTCACTGTTCGATAGAACTTCAGTCTCAGCTGCTGAGCTCCAAAGCGGAGCTGAAGGATAAGCTGGAGGAGGTGAACGGTTTGGAGGCAAAACTGTCGGAAGCCACCGCCAAGAATGTCCAGTTCACAGAGAGGGTTGAGTTGTTGGAAGCCCTCCTGGAGAAAAGCCAGGCCAGAGAGGCGGAGAAAGACCAAGAGGTACGGGACTTGCCACAGAACAAAGTTCGACTCCAGTGGCACCTTTAAGACCAACAAAGTTTCATTCTGGGCAGGGATCATATCCTGCCGGAGCGCACTGGAACGGCGCTCCGGCAGTAAGGAGCCCAGGAGCAGACCCCCCCTGCCACTTTTCCTCGCTCACCCGCCCAAGTGGAGGACGGGCCAGGGAAGGTCTGCAGAGCCCCCCCCCCTGCTTGGGGGGATTTAAATGCCTTTCTTTCCCATTCTAAACATGCCTGGGTTCCCTGCCTGATCTTCTCCAGCCAGTGTGGTATATGCAAATGAGTTATGCAAATGAGCTCCTGAACCTCTTCTTCTACGAAATGCCCATGATTCTGGGTATATGCTTTCGTGTGCATACACATTTCATCAGCTACCTTGCCACGGCAAACTTTTCTTCCGACCACTTGGCCAAAATACGGTACCCGTCAGAGGACAGTGCAGTGTAGCAGCCTAAAATATTGTGCTGCTTGCTGCCTTTTGGTCACCAAGGATCGCCTTGAAGTCAAGTACTGAAACTGTCCTTTTCCCTCCCCCTCCCCTTTTTAATTTGCAGGCAGAGAACCAAACGGAGAGCAGCCTGCTGCAGTTGAGGTAAGATCGGTGAGTTTAAATAAATCGAGTTGCGGATAGTGAAAAAGCGCTTTTGCTGCTGATGCAAGGACATTGCCCTTGTTGTCAGGTGGCCATAATGCTTATTTGGTGGATTTGTGCATGGGCAGAGAGATGAACCTGTGGGCCAGGAGAGATGAACCTGTGGCAGAGAGATGAACCTGTGGGCCAGGAAGCCTCCAGTGAAAGCTTTTGACCTCACTGCATTCTCATAGCCGGGTATGAAACCTCATCTAGCAGCTTCTAGCATAGTAGCGAGCGGAGACAGAAGGAAGGCAGCTCCTCCCGCTCAGGCTACCCTAATATGGGTCTGGTGCCAAGCTAGAAACAGGGTCAGATTTCTATGGATACGTGTCCATCTTGACCACACCTGGCAATTCAGAGTAAGAACAGAAGGACATAAGAAGAGCCCTGCTGGATTAGACCAGTGGTCCATCTAGCCCAGCATCCTCTTTCCCGCAGTGGCCAACCAGTTGCCCTGGAGGGTGAGGGAACACGGTGCCTCTCTGTTCTGGGAATGCACAGTTCAGGTGGGGGTGTAGCTAGATGAAGTGGAGGTCACCTTGCATTAACTGGTGGTTTCTGCAGTTGCTGGAGTACCATGCACCATACTTGCCCATCTGGTGGCAGCAGGAGGAGGCAGAAGCCGTTGGCAATAGCTAGAGATGGCAGGACACACTGCCCAGGTTCTTGATGAGAACCACGCCTTTGGCAGGATCTTCTAGCCATACAAGAAGGCAACAGCAGCTGATGTTACCAGGCCAAGCCGGTAAGGGATGGGAAGTTAGACCTAGTGCCGGCTATGGCAGAACTTGGCCCAGTCCTCCAGCCCGTACACCCGGTAACTAGGAGCCAAGCAAATCTGCACCATTCAGTGTGTAACACTAGGGGTGGAGGAACACCCAGTCTTCTTCAGTAGGAAAGATCAAGAGTCCAGGAGCACCTTAAAGACTAACAAAATATGTGGCAGGGTAGGAGCTTTCGTGAGTCACTTCTTCAGATACCTGAAGATACCCTGCCACACATTTTGTTAGTCTTTAAGGTGCTCCTGGACTCTTGCTCTTTTCTACTGCTACAGACAGACGAACACAACTGCCCATCTCGATCTAATCTTCTTCCTCATCTGATTCCTGCACAGTCGACTCACACGGCCCCCATGACTATCTCCAGATCCTGTTATAGTCTGTGCTGCTATGCCTCTACTCGTTAGGTTTCCAAAGGGCCCATCTGACAGATGTCTCTGTGCCATTCTCTCCTGTGTCTGCGTAATGTGTATATATTTCTGTGCCGCTCACAGGTACCTGCGAATCAGCTCCTTCCCTCTTCCCCTTTCTCTTTGCCTCTCTGGTCCCTGCTCTGCTGCTATTCTCTTCCTCTTAGTCTTCCCGCTCTCTCGCAAGAGTCTGCCCTTCTAGGCTCAAGCTAGGTGACTGGCATTCCTCAAGCTCCCAGGTGCCAGACTCTGTGCCACACCTGTCCGTAGGTGCCAGCTTCCGACTCTGTGTCTGAAGATAAAGGAGGCTCTCCCATTCCAGCTTCTGCCTCTTGGGGCATGCCAACAATTGGGCTGTGTCCTAACTTTTTCTTCATTTGATTTTTTCATTTAAGGGGGAAGTGAATAGATTAAAGAATACTTTCAGAAATAGAGGGACCCAGTGAAACAAGGGGACGCAACTCCGAGCACGCATGGGTCCCAAGCGACAGTATCTGCCGCTGTCAGCCTGAGTAGCCGTTCGAGGCTTACTTCAAGCTGTCTGTAGTACTCGAGGCGTGGCTTGGCTGGTTCTGCCAAGGGCCAGCTGTTGCTCTCCCATTCCGCAGCTGCTTTTGTGGTTGCTGCAGAATACCCAGCATGACGTTCTGTTTCTGAGCTGTGTCGCTATGGTTGGTGCCAATTACCAGTTTCCTTCTGCCTGCTGGGCAAAGCTGTTTGATCTCTCTGTTTTTATGCTTTTTTGTTTACCATCCTTAATTTATAACATCGTATGAATGCCATTCATCGGAAGTCCAAAAGCAATCTTCTCTGCCCTGGGCAACCGCAACACTGACTATGTCTGCTTTCCAGCGATGTGAGCAGTGTGGCTTTCAGGAATGCTCTGGCAGCAGAGTCCTGTTTTTTCTGGATCCAAGTCAACCCAGCGTAGCTTTCTGGAATGCTCACAGAGGAGTTTACTGTTCTTCACATTGCTGTCTCTGTCTTCTCCGTTGCACCTTTTTCTGATGGGAATTAATATGTGAACCATAGAATCAAGTAGAGTAAGTCTCTTTGCCCGGTGGCTGCTGCCTGTCTTACTGGGATGCAAGCAGTGTTCCCTCTAAGCTGAGTTACTGTGAGCTAGCTCACAGTTTTTTAGCCTCCAGCGCACCTATTTTTGTCTTAGCTCAGGAAGGATGGCTCCAGAGCAAACTAATGTATGCGGTAGCCAAATCGCTTGCTCACAACTTTAATGCCAGCAGCTCACAAAGTAGAATTTTTGCTCATAAGACTTCACAGCTTAGAGGGAACATTGGATGCAAGCGATTGTCATTGTCCTTTGGTACTCTTTACTGCTGCCTGTCTGACAAAGGTACCAACAAGATGTCTACTGCTACTCTGCCCCCGAGGACCAGCTTGGCTCTTGTCAGGCTTCTTAATGCCTGACCCTTTTGGGGTGCTGTCTGTGAGTGTTTGGGTGCTAAGCACCATCTCTGCAGTCCTGCCTGGCATAATTTCTCCACCTTGCTTTCTTCTCCCTTGAAGATCTTCCTCAGAGACATCAGAGCATTTTGTTTAATAAAAGATTGATTTTCAGAGAAGCAGATCTAGAGAATCACACACACCTTCCTTCTGGGTAATAATTCCCAAGGGACAACTTGTTAGTCTGCTGCAGCAGAAATAAATGGAAGTCTTGTAGCAACTTGGAGGCGAACAGGATTTTATTCCAGCATAAGTTTTTGTGGAACTAGATCTCACTTCCTTCTTGGGGATTTCAAAATACCCATCTCTGCGTCTGCAGTGCCCTTCTGACAGCATTCCAGTAGATGCAAGCAAAACATACCTGTGGGATCCTTTGCAGTCACCTTACCCTTTTTGGAGCCCCCCTGGGGGTTGGCCGTGCCCTTTCTTTGCTGCTACCTGTCTTGTTTTTCTGAACTCCCCAGTGATCGCTGTACTGTGACTGTGCCTTCTGCCTTCCTGGAGATGCACAAGGCCAGGTTTAACTTAATCTGAAAACGTTTAAAAAATATATTGCTGCAGTGTCTGGAACATCAGCTTTGCTGTGCCTTGATCTTACAGCCCAAGCTTTTGAGAAGCCACCAACTCAGTAAATGCGCCCCTTCCTTTTTTAAAAAAAGCAACAACCAAGGAGAACCAGCCTCTGTCTTTCTGTGCCACGCTGCCTGCCTGGTGTGGGATGAAGCAGCCTGCCTGTCTCTTTCTTGCAGAGGCATTCCCCAGGGCAAGCAGCAGTAGCAGCAAGTGCCCGTCCTTCACCTTTCTGCATCAGCAGACTCCGGGCTCTCTGAAAGATTTGCAGACCGCCAAAGCGTGAACATTTTAAAAGCCTCTTCATTTGTCGGATTAAAAAAATAAATAATAGAGAACAGAAAGGAAAATATTAGTAATGCCTATGAAGATTACCATAATCGCTGTTGGATATCACAGTCAAAGACCAGTGTCCCTTTTGTAGAGAAACTACTGTCAGAACTGAGTGGGCAACTGACAACTGTGGGTTAAGCCAATCTTCAGCTGATGAACCAGGGAGGCATTTTATAAAGCCTGGATTCTTGGGCCTTAACAAGGAGAAGAAAAAGAGAAGGTTTTTATATCCCGCTTTTCTCTACCTTGGGGAGCTGCGGTGGCTCAAGTGGTTAAGACGCTGAACTGCAGGCTGTGGAAGGTCAGTAGTTCAGCAGTTTGAGACCTGGGTGCCGCATGACGGAGTGAGCTCCTGTCTCTGGTTCCAGCTCCTGCCAACCTAGCAGTTCGAAAGCAAGAAATTGCAAGTAGATAAATAGGTACCACTTCGGTGGGAAGGTAACAGCGTTCCGTGCACCTTGGTGTTTAGTCATGCTGGCCACATGACCATGGAAAACGTCTTCGGACAGCGCTGGCTCTTCGGCTTTGAAACGGAGATGAGCACCGCAACCCTAGAGTCGGACTCGACTGTCTTTCGAGCAAGGGAACGTTTATCTTTACCTTCCTCTACATTAAGGAGTCTCAAAGCAGCTTACAATCACCTTCCCTTTCCTCTCCCCACAACAGGTGCCTTTTGAGGCAGGTGGGGCTGAGAGAGTTCTGAGAGAACAGAGACTGCCCCACCCAAGCAGGATTCATGTGGAGGAGGAGTGGGGAATTAAAACCTGGCTCTTCAGGTTAAAGTCCACCACTCTTAATAAGAAAAGTAGGTTTTTATACCCTGCTTTTCTCTACCCTAAGGAGTCTCAAAGTGGCTTACAATCGCCTTCCCTTCCTCTCTCCACAGGCAGGTGGGGCTGAGAGAGTTCTGAGAGAACTGTGACTGACCCATGGTCACCCAGCAGGCTTCATGTGGAGGAGGAGCGGGGAATCAAACCTGGCTCTCCAGATTAGAGTCCGCCATTCTTAACAACTACACCATGCTGGCTCAGTGTCGGCCAGTCTCAAATTCTCACTTCACGGGCAAAGTTCTCAAGTGTATGGTGGTAGCTCACCTCCAGGCACTTCTGAATGACACATTATCTGGAGCAATCCAAAGCATCGATCGATCAAAAGAAACTCTCAAAGGAGGTTTGCTCTAGATCCTGGTTTCATTTTTAGAAAACTGCCAAGTGTGTTTTGGGCACATACATTTTATTTATTTATTTATTTAGATTTATAACCCGCCCTCCCCGCGAACGGGCTCAGGGCGGCGTACAGATGGGGCCAATACCCAATACATAAAACATTAAAACTGCACTTTAAAAACATTCAATACAATTCATTTCATGAAGATGAAAGGATTGTTCAGACATCACGTTAGGGTCCTCACGCTTTAATAATAAATTAGAAATAAGGCCCGTTGTGGAAATAAATACAACGGGATCTAGAAAGAGGCTCTGGGAGAGTGCTCTGGCTTTGGGCAAACAGTGTCAGTCTGTTTTTAAAACATGAATATGGGACCTACACACCACCAGAATACAGCAGATTCCATATGCAACTGACATTCCAACTGCCTTGCGGGGGGGGGGGGTTTGAGGGGGGGAATGGG